GATTCGGACAGATTTCTGGCTGCAAGTCCCAAATTAAGCTCCCTGTCCTCCTGCAGAGTTGAACTCTGCAAAGTTCTACTACAGGTTTCAGCTGTCTTTCCCCTGAAAATAATCCAGGTTCAAATGGGAGGCGATGATCCCTTGAACTTACCAAGTAAGGTGCTCTGGTCAAGTGGGTGGGGCAAGCCAGACGGAGCAGGGCACAGCCACCCACATCTGACTACACTGCCAAACTGGCAGCCAGAGTGCCTGCCCAGGGCAGGAGGGGTGTCCTCATGGTCTCCTGGATGCAAGTGGGCAGTGCAAGCCAGACGGAGCAGACTTAATAACTATTTTAAGAAGCACAGCTATAATCATATCCAACAAAATAAACCATATTGCTGAGTAGCATCAAATACTCAGTATTGGGATGGGGATTTAGCTCAGTGGTTCCACCGCCTAGCTTGCATGCACAAGGTCCTGAGTTCAATCCCTGGTACCAAAAAAACCCCCAGTCTATGTTCATTTTTCTCTGTTGTCTCAAATGTCATCTTACAGTTGGTTTATTGGAATTGGGATCTAAATACAGGATCCAACATTGTTTTCTTTTTTCTCATAGGTTTCTTAATTCTCTTTTAATTTCTTAATGATTAAATCTCTAATCTTCTCCTACCACTTGCTATTCTTTCTTTCTGAAAGAAACTGGGTCATTTTTTTTTTCCTGTAGAATTTCTCACATTATAGCTGTGGCTGACTGATGTTGCTTACAAATTCCTCTCTTCTATATGCATCCTTAAAATTTATTGCTAGAAACTTGCTTAAATCCCAGCTAAGTTATTTTGGGCAAGAATCCCTGCCAGGTCCCATTGCATCCTTCCTGCTGAGATATGCCATGTCTGGATGCCTTCCCTTTAGTGATGCTAAAATTGTCCAATGAGCTACAGTATTGCAGTCTGATCCATCAGGTCTAAATTGCCACAACAATCTGTTCCTTTAGAGTCTTAGCAGACATTAATGACCATTGCTGAGTTTTGGATATTATGAAAGGTTGATTTTCCAGCTTTAATATTCCTCTTGCCCTTTTCAGCTTTGATTTTTCTAAAAAGAATTTCCCCTCATTGACTATTTGCTTACCCTGAAATACTGTCTGTAGAGGAAAGGCAAGGTATACTCTCTCTACTTTTCAGAATAATCAACCAATACCCTAGCAACTTCCAAAGAGAACCTGTAGAATCATTTTGCAATCAAAGCTTTTCTGTATTTCCTGTATTTCAGTTTGTTGCAGCCTTTATTCTTTCTGCTGCTAAAATTTTCCCATCCTTTAACTGCGGAAGGACCCTTCAATTTGGCCTCTCTCTTTTTCTCTCTAGAAGTCTTTGATTGCTTCTCCCTTCGACCCATAACAAGATATAGATGCATCCTGAACATTGAGTGCCTGAGACCTAAAATCAGACATTACTCCAAGGAGCTTAGCCACTCTTAGTGGGGAAAGCTATTTAAACTTTCCATACAAATTAGAAAATCCTGTATCAGCAAGGGAAAGCAGGAAAGAGTGCCCACAGTGCCCAAAGCAAGAAGATTTTTCTGAACATAAAATGTAGAGATTCCACCAGCTACATTTTGTCACAGAAAAAGAAATGTGCCTGCCTGGGGAAGAACTCAAAGTATCCCCAGAAGATTGCCCTCAGCCATGAGCAGCAAGAAGAAAGCCTTGTTTATCCATATATGTGTCTTGGGGAATGTCTTAGTTACTTTCTCATTGCCAGAACAAAATATCCAACACTCACAACTGAAAGATGGATGGGTTTATTCAGGCTCATGGTCTTTGGAGGTTTTAGTGCAGATTTGACTGGCTCCAAGGCAGAAATGGCACAGCAGAGGGGCATGGTGGAGGAAAGCTGCTTGTCATGACAGCCCAGAAGCAGAGTGAAAGGAGGAGCCTGGGAGGGAGTTATACCCTTCTGGGTCACACTCCCAGGGATCTGTCTCTTCCAAACAAACCCCACCTCCTAATAGCACATTCAGCTGTGGATCCATCAGTGAATTAACCCACTGATGATTACAGAACCCCCATGATCCAATCACCTTCCATAAGCCCCACTTCTGAATACATGAGGCTTTGGGGGGGTATTCTGGATCTAAACTATAATAAGGACATATAAGGCAGCCCCCTGTACCCCAAAGCATTCCTTAGCCAGGCCCTTTGCACACAAATTTAAGAGGTAGACTTTATTAATCTCACTGCACAGAGAATGAAACACACTTATCTAAGGCCACACAACCAGTCAGGAGGTGGCATGGACTGAAGAGTTTCCTCTAAACTCCCAACCTGTGCCACTGTGCCTCCATCAACACCTGGACTCCCGTCCTCATCCTCAGCTTCTCCTCCACCCATGAGAGGAGAGGTTGGAGTCACATCGCCAGCTGTGCAACAGCACTCATCTCAATGAGATTGTACTTCCTTTAAGGATGTGAACTTTCATATTTACTGATTTATTCCTCATTTGGTTGACAGACATTTATTGTGATGAAACATGTGTGGTTCTTCTCTGTGATGACTAACTTTATTTGTCAATTTGACTGAGCAAGGGATGCCCAGATAGCCAGGAAACTCTATTTCTGGATGTTTCCTGTAGAGTGTGTAGTAAAGAGTTTAGTATTTGAATCAGAAGCCTGGGAAGTGGGGAGGGCACCATCCAACAGGTGAAGGGCAAGTAGGTAAGAGGAAAATGGCAAAGGGAGGGAGATTTGCTCTTCCTATTTGAGATGAGACATCTGCTTTCTCCTTCATTGAACATTGGTGCCTCTGCTTCTCAGGATGTTGGATTCAGACTGGAACTCACTCTGTTGCCTCCCAGATTATCACATTTTCAGGCTCTGATTGAATTATCTTATGGTTTTCCTGGTTCTCCAGCTTGCTGACAGTAGATGGTAGAGCTTCTCTGTCTTCATAACCTTGAGAGCCAATCCTACAATAAATCTATCTATCTATCTATCTATCTATCTATCTATCTATCTATATTATTAGTTCTGTTTTTTTTTTCTGGAGGACTGTGGTTAACATAGTTTCTTTCTGGGATGAGAGAACTTGGTGGTATGCTCTGAATGACTAGCATATGAAAGAATAAACCAGTAAGCTCATGAGTGAATGAATGAATGGAGGAATGGAGAAAAAAATAATAGTATCCCAAATAGTTGAGACTCCTCAATCCTTCTAAACTTTTCTAACAGGAAGGGAGCCAATCACTCTCCTAAATGCCAAAAGACTTCTCTGAGTTGCACTATGACAGTGTGAACAGTCATTATAGAGAATGTGAGTTGTCAGGGACCACAGCCCAGCACCTGATCTCACTTCCTATCTGGCCTGCAGTAGCCTGCAAACAAGAGGGCACAATGAGCAGGCAATTGCTGCTCTGAGAAGTCTCTGGAAGCCCCCAAAGGACATTTTTTTCTTATTGTGAGAGCCAGATTGGTACTGATTCAGCTTCCAAAGGCAGACTTATGGCTGAGGAGAACAAGACAGAGCGACATGGATGACTCCAATTTCACTCAATGTCAGTAGCTCGTGAAGAGGTGAGCCATGGTCCTTTCTAGGGCAGGAGCCTTGAGATGAACTCTAAAGACTTTGTTGTAGAGGATAGCAAAAGGCAGAAGAGCAGATGTAGGTGTTATGAGCAATCAGATTTATCCTCATAAAGAAGGTAAAAGAGAAAGAGAATTTCATGGGGCTCCTACAATGTATGAAGTTCTGTGAGTCAGAGTTTATTGTCCCTAGTTCACAAAAGAGAAAACAGAAGCTCAGCAAGGAGAGGAGCTTGGCCAAGGAACTAGTTCCCAGACAGCAGTCACATCTGACTGCCACTCAATCCAGCAGTGAGGCCACACATTGCTTACTCTTCAAGCCGTTCCCTTGAGGATGCTGCCTCCTGAGCCAGCCCTGCTGGGCCCCTGCAGACTGGCAGGTGGGGAAAAGCTGCCAGCTGCCCAAGAAGCTGCTAGAGCCAAGCATGGTCTCTGCTATCCCCAAAGTGGAGCCCGGGGAAGGCAAGGGCTCTTCATAGCAAGATAAGGTTTGGGAAGCAAATCTTCCCAGCGACACCTTTCTTGAAAGGTACTGATGAAATCAATCCATGGCTTTTTTCTAAAGTAAAATGAACAAGAAAAGAATGAAAGTGAAATTATTTACTCCAAAGACAAATGAAAAAATATCTAGAAATTAATTAAAACAACAAATCCAGCACCTACAATGAATGAATAAAGCTACACAGATCTTTTGATAATAAGCACAGAAAAGTGTTAGAGTCCTGGATAGGGAACTGAAAAAGCCTACACTAATATCAATTCATTAGCATGCCAATTATCCAATTGCAATTGGGATCTCGATAGTTTTGACAAAGGAAAAAGTATTCATATTTCTTATAGAATAAAAAATGCAAAAAAATTTAATATCATGACAGTTAAGCTGTAATGTCATCTTGGGAGCTGCCAGGGGGATTAGTAAAGCACAATTCTGGGTGTGTCTGGCTCAGTCATGGAGGCGTGACCTTGGGTACTGTATCTTTCTCTTGCCCCTTCCTCTCTGGCATTGTAACCCTGCACTTCTTCCTGGCTGCCATAAGCTAAGCATCTTTTCCCTACCATGTCTTTCCACCATGATGTTTCTGCCTTGAAGCCAGTTGACGATGAACTGGACCCCCTGAAACCCTGAGCCAAATTCAACCTCTGTTCCTTTAAGTTGTAGGTGTTTGGTGTTGTGTTTCAGTGACAAAAAGTTGACTAATATGAATATATTCTTGAAAAGGGAAAATACTTACACTTACTATAAAGCTATCATAATAAAGACAGTGTGGCCTCACCACAGGAACAAAGGATAACACACCAGACAAAAAGGTAGAATAGGACAATTATCAACAGGAAAACAATGACACACTATAAAGTATTTAGAAACATACACTTCACATAGAAATTTAATGTTTAAAATGGTGGTATTTCATTTCTACAAGAAGTAAATGGCACTGTATTTCTGGAAGAAAATGAAAACTAGACCATATTCATTACATCAAAATTTGAAAAGATTCAAAATGCACAAAGAACCTAAATTCAAAAAAAATGACAATAACAAGAAGCATTTTAGGAAAATAACTTTGGAGAAGCAGCACCTTCTTAAAGAGGTCAGGAAATGTATTGTGTATACAATAGACAGTCAATAGTTCACAACAGAGTCACAGTGCCACTTAACAACAGAGATACATCAGGAGAAATGGACTGTTGATGTTTTTATCCATGTGCAAACATCACAGAGGGTGCTGACACCTATATAGTCCAGATCAATCATTCAAGGCGGCCTATTGTATTGTGCATGGAAGAGATGTAGTAAACTTGAGATGGACACGGTGCTGCCAGCATCACATGGTATACTCTCTTACAATCAACATTTGTAATAAGTAGGTGAAATTATGATGAGATAATGACAAATGTATAGCATAGTAAATACATCAAATGGTTACACAGTCATTTACTATTATCAAATGTTATGCACTGTACATAATTGTACAGTAGGTTTGTTCACGCCACCATCAGCACAGACACCTAATGTGTTACACTATGACATCACAATGGCTATGGTGTCACTAGGCAATAGAAAATTTTCAGCTTCATTATAACATTTTAACATCATCATTGTATATATGGTCCCTCACTGGCCAGAATGGTATTATATGGCACATGACTCTATAAGAGGAGCTCCTATAAATTATTAAATAAAAGGCAAACAGTGTAATCTAAAAATGACCAAAGGGTGTAAAAAGGTAAACACAACTCATTTGACATTAGAGAAATGCAAAATAAAATAAAATGCAATATTATTTTCATCCACTAGATTTTTAAGTCTCAAAAAATCCCTTCCTGATGTGAGAAAATAGATTTCCTCATGTACTGGTGTGGGAGTGTTAATTGCCACAACTATTTTGGAAAGGATTTCTGGAAATTTATATTATAGCTTCATAAACACTTATCTTTCAGTCCAGGAATATCACTCTGTAATATCTACCATATAGATTTAAAAATAAATGTACGAAGGCTGTTATTTCATCGCTAAATGTGGAAAAATAAAGGAGGAAGTCAGTTGATCACTCCAGGGCTGGTTGACTACATCAAGGTGGTCCCTCTAAGGAACAGTGACAGAGTAAACTATGTTCTGTCTATTCTAGTCTAGACAGATGTGAACCCAAAAGGAGCATAGCATGCTGCAGAGAAATGTGTAAGGTATCATCTCCTTACTTTCCAAACAAAACAATCAGAAAATTTCCCAATGGATAAAAATGTAAATATGAGCACAAAGAGATACTTAGGAGCATGGGAAAGACTCCACAGGCCCAAGCATGATGAATTCCCCAGACAGCGCCCCACTCTGGACCAAGCTGGGGCTGGCATCCTGGAGCTGACTGTGGGTGTCTCTTTGCAACTCTGCATTCAGTGGTCTCACACTGGTTCTTTGGAATCGGCCATGGTGGTAGTGTTTCCACCAGGGGAGCAGGTAAATGCTGCAAATCAGGGTTCTCTCCCTGAAAGTCAGTTTAACAATGTTTACCAGTATGTCACTGCCACAAGAGCTGAAAACACCACTCTCAGGGAAAGGTGCTGTTCCCAGAAGCCCACAAATATCTGCTTTCTCCTCACACTGGAAAATTCATGCACATGGATTAATTTGAGAGCACAAGGGAAACCTTTCAGCTGTAATTATCTAGGAGTCTCTGTCTTCTCCCAGGAAACACCATCATTTGCAGAGGCATATGCAGCCTGTGCAGCCTGAGACAGTGCACGAGGGGCTATGCTGAATCCTTACCACTGGAGGGCAGTATTAGCACAGCCAAGGCACCCGCTGGGCCAGGAATGGCTGGGCCAGAATTCCCAGCTCAGCAGTAACGGGCCCATCCCAGCCCCTCCGGGACCCGGAACCCTCCCCTGGGAGTGGAGGCGAAGAACAAGGAAAATGGAAACTTTAAACCCAAAGAACTTTGATTTCAAGACTGAGAATAACAATAACAGCCCTCAGAATGCTACCTACCATTTTAGGCCAAGGGATTCCACTGCTTACAAGAGCTGTGACAAACTACCACACTACTGGGAGCTGTTTTCCCCACCTGTATAACAGCACTAACTTCATGAGGCTTTGCCATGACTCAGTGACAAGAAACACAGACAGCTCAGAACATGCCTGGCACATGGTGAGCCCTCGGTAACATCTGCTAGGATTATTATAGATTGCACAGGATGTTTATGATCTTGTCCCATTCTTGTGCTCACTCTCTAAGGCTGTACTGTCATTTCCATTTTACAGCGTTAACCTTGAGGGCCGAGCATGGTGTCATACGCCTGTAATCCCAGTACTTAGGAGGCTGCAGCAGGAGGATCGAGAGTTTAAAGCCAGCCTTGTCTACATAAGTAGAGCAAATAAACAGAATAAACCCTGAAGGACATAGAACGGAGTGACTGTCTCAAGCTACCCAGTGAGTAGGGGACAAGCTGGGACTTCAGTCCTGATCTAGGTGATGCTCTCAGCCTCTGTTCCCTCATTCCGAATAGCAGTGGCACTGGAGAGAGAGGGTGTGGAGCCTCACAGGGGACTGGTCTGTCTTACTCACCCCACCCCCCACCCACCCCCGCCTCTACCTGGGTGGGCCGGGTGGTCTCTAGGAGCAGTCTCTCCTTCTCTGAGCCACTTCAGTAGATTTGGTGTTGCCACCTCCAGTTCTTGGGAGAGTCTGGTGACACAGAGAATGCAGGCTACTTCACAGGAAGAACACACTGATCTCCAAATCAGCTCTTGTGTATCACGTGGCAAATGAATGTTAGACCCTGGGTGGCAGTGTTTAAGTGCATCCCACACTTTCCCCTAAGAGGCTCAGACTGGAAAACAAGGGTGAATGGAGCCTTAGTTTCCACCTCTGGGCACAAGCATAAGTACCTCACAGGGTCTGGCAAACAGAGAGGATACAAGGCAATTTTCTAATGTCCCCCCCAAACATAAGTGCATATTTACCCTGACAAAAGAGGTGAGGGGTCTCCATTTGTGCGATGTGTCCACCTTGGTCCTGAGCAACAGAAGTAGCTGCCTGTCAGCCTGCAGCAGCCCAGGTGATGGATATTGGTGAGTCCCATCTCAGGAGAACCTGTGCCGTGTCCAGCAGCAGCAGGGACATAGGGAAGAGGGTAACTTTAGCCTTACCAAGTCTTCAGAGGTTGTCACACTTGAGCAGAGCTCTGGGTGTCTTCTGTCCACCAGGCAGAGGCAGCCAGCTCAGGAGCTCACAGTTGCTAGCCTGTCCAGTTTTTGAGCTTGGCTTTCCCATCTGTAAGCGGGGATGATGGGGTGAGGCAGCCTCTGCATCATGGTACTGAGAACCGAGTTTCTGCACTCAACCGGGTGCCTGGAGCCCAGGGAGTGCTGGGAGAGTCCAGGGCAAAAATGTCACTGAGGGTCTTCTGCCCCTGCACACAATCCCCACTGGAAGCTGGGTGCTGCTTCTCCTTTTCAGTGTTCACGCCTCACTCATTAACAACTCGCTCTAAGACTGTGTACTTTCTTTTCCCTATCTCTAGCACACCCTTCCCCATATTGCAACCAGCCAGCTCCTAAACTCCTCTGGGCCTCTGCTAAGAGCCACTGCAACAGAGCTCCCCCCCGCCCCCCCGCTTATGCATAGCACCCTGTCCTCCTCACTTCCGGCAGACTGCATCCTTGGACTGGCTTGTTATTTAGTGCTCACAATCCCATGCCAGGCTTGCACTTTTTGTTTGTGTGTTTACCTTGTCTCCCCACATGTGCGTGTGGAAACTCCAGGAAGGCAGGCCCTTTGCTTCATCTTCCTTTGAGCCCCTAGTCACTAACCCTCTGTATGCTACTACTAGTAGTCACTCGATAACTACATCCTGATCAAATGAATGAATGAATGAATGAATGACCAGAGGATTGGGTGAATGAGTTGGTAAATGAATAAAGGAAAAGTTTCCCATTAATTCATTGCATGTGCTCTGAGAAACTGGTTTAGAATCAAAGGATTTTGGTCAGATAGCCATAAGCACAGGCTTCCTCTCCAGTGCCAAATTGCCCTGAAATAGACTTGCCTCTCTTTACAACCTGCATCCTTTCCTTGTTCTTGTCCACAGAATTCTGCCAGTGAAGTTGAGTTGGGGAATTTTGACCTCGAAGCTGTGATTAGCTGCTCATAAATGGTACTCAGAGGGACTGTCTTCCTCTCCAAAAGCAGCCTTGCAGAGAGAAAATGACAGCTTCTTTAGACACAGCTCTGGCTCAGATTCCAGATCTTTCTCCAATCTGCTTGCCTGTCTTACCTCAGTTTCCCTGAGTACAATGGGTCCAATCCCAGCACACAGGAAGGGGCTGCCATGAAGCTCAACAAGAGGAGGGCCCTTGTAGCATCTTACTCAAACCCACTGGGTATACACGGAGACTCAGCACTTGGAGACACTCCATAGATTTCAGTCTCCCTCCCTACTGTGGCGCCCGGACCCTGCTGCTCCTGCCTGCTCCCCATTCCCTTTTGGGGATTCGAGGGTAGGAGAAGGAAACCACTTGCGCAAGGTTAGAGCTAACCCTGCAAAGCTGAAGCTAGGTTTATCTCAAATTCCTGACTCCGAGCCCAGAACTCACCCACTGCCACCCACTGCCACCCACTGGGTGCTGACATCAAAAGGCTGTCTGGAGGTGGGTTCCCCTGGTGAGGCCTGAGTGTTGAAGGAAGGCGCTGGAGCCCAAGTGGATGTCATGTTTGATGAAATCTTCACAGGCACAGAGCCAGGCCTAGAGAGAGGGTCTGCCCCATGTGCCAGGACTTCTAGCCCCAAATTATTTCATGTGCCTCTACTATGTGTGCCTCTACCATGCGTGTTACTTACTTTTCTCATTGTTGAGACAAAATACTCAACACCCAAAGTTAAAGGAGGAAAGGTTTATTTAGCTCAGTCTGCCCATAATCGGCTGGCTCCCAGGCAGGGTGGCTCAGCACAAGGGCTTCGAAGAAGTTCATGGCAGCAAGAGGGTAGCAAGAGCAACAAGGGACCTTAACTGCTTCTTTCTGCTCCTCTTATCTTATCCAGAAGACTACTGGGATGAGGGCAGTGCCAAACTCATCAGTGGACTGATTTAGTAACTACACTCCCTTAATCCCAGGGTCACACACTGTATTCACCACCTCTGAAAGAGGCACCTATGCCCCCGCATGAGGCTTTGGGGTTTGGCTTCTAGGCCCAAACGTGCTCTTCCCTGACAGCAGGCTGCTCGCTCAGCTCAGCTCCTGAAGCTGTCACACAGCTAAGGGTGAACAGTGCGTGGGAAAGTGGAGAGTGTGGGGCCACAGATCTAATGCGCTGTCAGAAGTCAGAAAGTGGACCCATGCCATAGTTTCCAGAGGCTACGGCAATACAAGCATTCACGGAAAATCCCCTGACTTTTGAATGTTACTTTTTATATATGCAGCCCTCAGGGCACTATCTATAGTGCAGTCACTATACCCCATAAATATCAGCAAGGGGCAGTACTAGACAATACTGACCGCCACCACCGCCCTTGCCTGCCTGCCTGCCTGCCTTCCTAAGGTCTGTAATATTCTCTTACAGCCCTGCTAATGAACTAATTTTCTTTTCATCTTTTCTTTTGTATTTCTTCCCTCTCTTTCGTCGTACCCTCCTTCCATTTCTTCCTTCTCCCCCCCCCCCAATCTGGTGGGACCCTAAACAATGGCTTCCGGTGAATGGGGGACAGAACTGTCACCAGAAAGGAGATAAGGAGCATAAATTCCCCTCCGTGCCCCTCTCAAGGGGGAAGAAAGTCATTCATCCAGAGAGGATGGGGAGAATACACAATTCGCTAGGGACCGATGTTTGGGAGCGCAGGGTGAGGCTGCCAGGGCAGGCCAAAGGAACAAAGAGGTTTTCCGTCCTCCAGAGAACAGATACAGCGCTCGGCGTAGGCTGAGGAGGGTGAAGGTAGGAGAAAGAATCGGAAGAGAGGAGGAGCAGGTTGAGGGGTCACCAGCGGCCTGCACAGCCTGGGGCTGCCTCCCTCCCTCCAACTCGTAAATTCCGCCGGACTCACAAAGAGCTGTGGTGGTGAATTCCTTTAATGGTGCTTCTCACGCCAGGAAGAGACAGACTCCAGCAGCTGGCGCGGGAGCTGGTGGTGTGTATGTGTGTATGTGTGTGAGCTGCTGTGTGGTCCAGTCTGAGAAGGCCTCGACCTGCGCAGGTAACAGTCAATCCCGGCACCACCCCGAGTCCAGGGTTCCTCATCTGTGTTTCACAACTGGGGAAACTGAGACTCTGAGAGGACTGTTGAGCCAGCCCACGCCCTGTGGCCAGAGAGCGGCGCGCCCGGACTCAACTCACCCGGCTTCTTGGCCGCCCCGGCACCGCTTCTTCAAGAACAAAGGAGCGGCTGCGCAGCGCTCAGCCACCAGGGGGCAGCGTCGCCCACCCCGCCGCCGGGCCCTTTGTCCCGGGGGAGCCTCTTCCCGCCCCGCCCCTCGGACGCCAGCGCCCTCGCCCCCAGGGCCCGCTCGCCAAGCACCCCCGGACCCCACAGGCCGCCGGGCCTCTCTCCAAAGACCGCCCTCGCCTCCTCTCTGTCAAGTCGAATCTCTTTCAGCTTTCAGGTCGATCTCGCAGCTCTTCCCGTGGAGCTTCGTTCATCTGCACACGCAGGTTCACGCAGCCTCCGCCCAGCCCCCGGCCCACCGCCCCGGCGTCAGCCCCAGTTCTGCTCCAAAGCGCCTTCCAGGGCCAGGTGCAGCGCAGATGTACATTCAAGCCTCTCCGCGCCGTCCAGCCGTTGCCTAGAAACTGATAGAAATCCAGAAGCTTCCCGGGCGCCCCCTGGGTCAGGAGAGGGGCCAGGGCCTGGGTCTGACCAGTGCGAGCCACAAGGGGCTGGGAAGGTCTGTCTGTGCATCATTCTGCACCCGCTGGCCAAGAACCACGCCTGTGTCACCCGTGGTGTGCACTGGGGTCCGCGCGCTCCCCTACCCCTGGGATTTCACCTAGTCTGGAGTGCCCTGGCTTCGAGAGCCCTTTACACTCACTTACACTGAAATCAGATACTCGTCAACGGGGCTGGGCTCAGAGCTTAGGCAAGCTCTTGCCAGTGGCTGCTGCGAAACTGAGCCTGCCCCCCCCACCCCTTCTTAGGGAGGACCCCAAGGATGCGGTGCCACCTGTGCACTGAGCAGTTGTTCTGTACTCAGAGACCCCTCGTGCGCATTTCCTCCTTTCCCCCTCAAACAGCCCTGGAAGGTGGAGGCAGCCTGGCCCCTTCTCCAGATGAGAAAACTGAGGCCCAGAGCAGGAGAGGGGCCGCACAAGCTCAGCCTCCTCCGGGCGGACTCCCAGGGCTGCACCCTCCTCCTGCAACCTGCTGGCCCCTCACCTTGCCCTGCAATGCTGAAGTCTTCTCTGCTCTCTGCTCCAGCTCCCCACCCTGTTTCTTCAGAGGGCTGAGGCAGTGTGTGAGTGTGTGAGTCCTCCACAACCCTGGTTCTGCAGCCACGGATGGAAGATATTTGAAAAAAAGTCCATCTGTACTGAACCTGTACAGACCCCTTTGTTCTTGTCATTTTTTCCCGAACAATGCACTTAGCTACCACTTACATAGAATTAGGTACTGTAAGTAATCCGGAGACGATTAAGAGTGTACAGGAGGATGTGTGGCGGTTCTATGCAAATACTGTGCCCTTTCAGAAGGAACTGGAGCATCTGTGGATTTGGATGTTTGCTGAAGTCCTAGAACAAAGCCCCAGGATATCAAAGGATGACTGTATACACTTTCTCATGCCACCTGACTCCTGCTCCTTTCTCAGCTTTAAACTCTATACAGGCAAGGACCTCATTAATCTGTTCATCCTCCTTTTCTCCACTTATAGCCCTTTGCCCGACACATAGTAGGTATTCAATAAAATATGTCAAATGAATGAAAGTTTAAAACACCCTCAGGGAGTATGTAATGCCATCCACATCATCACAGGGATGTTTCTGAGAGGCCTCAGAGGCTCAGAGTGAGGGTTCAGTATTAGAAGGAATGAACATTTCTGATGCACTGATCAAGAAGGCTAGCAAAGTGTATTTTCATAAAATCTCAGGTCTATTGCAAACATGAAAAATACAAGCATGTATAACATGAAATTACAGGTGTGTGTATTGCAAATACTTGGCATGTGTTAATAACAAATAGGATGGATGAAAATAGATGATTTAGTAAAATGGATCTCTGTGTGCGAACTACGTGGAGACAAAAAACAATGGAAGGAGACGGCTTTTGAGAGCAGAGTTTGTGTTGCTGTTAGTGTAGGTGTGCAGAGAGCCAAGGACACAGTTGGAGTTTGACCAAGTGGAGCAGAGGGCCAGGGTGTGGCTGAAATGCCCAGGCACTGTGCAGGCTGCCCTGGCCAGGGGCCCCTCCTGCTAAATGCATCAAGAAAATAATACCAGCTACAGACAAATCAAGTCACTGGTGAGAACAAGCCAGCC